CATCAGAGACACTCGCCACAGAGACTCAGCTTCCTGCTGATCACTGCACACTTTCCAATGTTAGACCTCATGGCGCCATTGATTGATTAACATTGATTTCAGTGCTGGCGATCAAACCTGGGGCCTCCTGCAAGGTAGGTGCTCTGACCACTGAGCTACATCACTGGCCCTTTATGTAGCGCATTTAAAATAAAATACTCAAAGTTACTTTAAAACAAAACAGCAGCAATTGTAAAATGGGGCTGCTGTAGGTAGATTTTCCACCTGGCTGCCTTTTAGCAGAATTGTGCAGTGTCTTAAATCCTCATGGGCAAAAATCACTCATATTCCAGCAAATGGGAACTTTGGTGCCAGCTTAAATTTATACCCTATTTGCTGCAATTTGAGCCCTACCTTATCTTGCAAGATCGCTGTCTGTTGAGCTCAATCCTCCATTTGCTGGATATCCATGAAACAGTATGTGTAACAAACTATAGAACTAATACACATTCACTCTGGGCAAAATCAGTAGGCACTTGCAGGTGGTGAAGTCATGCCGGTGTGTCTTGGTCCACTGAGGAGCTTCTCTCTTGCTGGAGTGAGAGCAGGGAAATGGGTGGGCATTGATGTGATCAGAGGCTGTGTCTTACAGGAGATGGAACGTCAAAGGCAGCCCTCCGCACTATGTGCTATGTCCCCTACATCTTCAGCCTTCCTTATGCATTTTTGGAAAAGGAGTCTAGTAATTTGCCCAAGCTCAAAGTTTTAATCTTCCCGTCTCAGTCTCCAAGAGTGCTTTATTTAACTTTTTGAAGTAGAGTACAATCTTCATGGAATTTATTCAGGTTTATATAATTTATGCAAAGTATGTGGCACGTTGCTATGCCGTTAAGATAATTAAAGGTATTACAATTCTGACCTTTTACCTCGGAAGCTGTGGGAGTTCAGGCCTCCTGTGTGCTGCTGGGCTCACAATCCATCCCTTCCCTAATTTTGACGTCTGTTTTGTCTCTGTCTCTCTCAAGCCTCAGGGATGGGACCTGGAGCCTTGTATTCCACCAGTGACTTGTACCCTCTACCTCTGGCCTTCCTTTTTATCAAATAAATGCTTGTTAGAAACAGAATGCCCTTGACAGTCTTCGGTGTGAACCGAAGCACTTGGCATGGTTGGCCTCTGCCTCCTGGCATTTTACAGGAGGGTTATTTGGCACATGACTCCGGTGGCCGGTGGGTGCACGGGGCTCAGCGCCAGCATCTTGCTGAGATTTCCCTGGCTGTGTGTCACATCGCAGTAGAGAATCGCAGGAGAGGGAAACAGCAGGTGGATAAAGCCTGCGGGACGGCCTCTGTTCTGGGGAGGCCAAGCACACTGAAGAGCAGCAGGAATCCGCTTCCCGGGGAGCGGGGAGGAGTCAGGCTCATCGCCCGTAGGCCACGCCTCGGAAAGGTCCTGCCGCTCAGCACTGCCACGCAGGGACCGCAGAGCACTACCAGCTGCTTCCTGAACCCGTGCCTAGGGCTCCCCTTCCTTTCCGCTCCAGCTGCTTTTCCACCTGCCAAACGCTCCCAAGACGCGCGCATGCGCGCGCACGCGCGCGCGCTCAGCAAAACAGCCGGGGACTCTTGGGACGCAGGCACCTCGGGGATCGCAGCCTCAGGATTGCAGAAAACAGCCCTCCTCTGCTTCAGCCAGGGGACGGAGCCGCCCCGGCTGCGCAGCCGCAGTGTGAAGACCCAGGCTCCGCCTCGCCGTCGCGGGAGCCCCGCCCTTTACGGAAGAGGAGGGGTGCGCAGCGCTCCGTCACGCAGGCGCGTTGGCGGCGCAGCAGGCAGACCGCGGTTAGTAGGGCGACGGCGCAGCCGCCATTTTGTGGGGTGTTTGTGGCAGCCACCCGACAGGGACGACGGCGGTTTGGAGACGTTTTTCGGCCAAAGGGCCTTTTGCTTTCGCGGAGGTGAGGTTCTGGGCCGAGTGTGCTGGTGTGGGGGGGCTGTCGAGTCTGACCCCGGTCTCTGAGCCAGCCGTTGGCCAAACGGCCGGGCCTCGGGCCTGGGCGATTGGCGGCGGAGGCGGGGGTCGCTGCGGCGCTCCGCTGGGGTCGGGAGCGCCCGCAGGGGCCGGCGAAGCGGGTCAACCGCAGGCCCTTCTCCGGGGGTGCGGCGAGTCACTCTGTGCGGACCTGCGGCGGCACTACGGCCGTGGGGTCGCCGCCTCGATGGTCTCGGCGCCCCCAGGGGCGGCCCGCGGGGCGCTGCTGTCCAGCCGGCCTCGCGCGCTGCCGGCCTCCCCCGGCCCCCGCAGACCGCGGGGCGGCTTGCGGCTCTTCGGCCGTGTCCGTCCGGTGAGGCCTTGGGAGCGGCAGGGCCACGTAGGTGCGGGCGGTTGAAGGGTGGCGTGAGCCTAGCGCGCAGGGGTCTCCCGCTCGTCCGAGACGGAGCGCGCGGGTTCAGGGGTTGGGAGGAAGGAGCCTCGCTGGGGCGGCGGGGCCGGGGCCGGGCCGGGCCGGGGGCCTCGGCTGCAGAAAACGCTCCCGGGCGCCGCCTGGGGAGGGCCGGGCCGGGCCGGTCTCAAGGGCCTGGACCCGCGCCCGAATTCAGTGTTTTTCTTTTTTTTTTCCTCTTTGAAAAACAGTGGATTTGAAAAAAACGAAAAAAATGAATTTTAACTAGCGAGTGTGCCTAGGCAAACAACATTTGGGTTCTCACAAAGAACGCGCTTTTACGTTTTGCCCTGCTGTAGGGCGCGTGCCTTGCGTGACTGCTGCGGGTCCGAGGGTCCCCTTCCCAGGAGGGAAGGTGTTCAGCCCAGCTGACCTAAGGCGTTAAAGTAGTTTCGGTAATTGATCGGACAGAAAAATTCCACAAAAAATAGGAAAAAAAAGTCCGCCTCTTTTTGCCTTTTGCCTCAGGTAAACTCGTATTGCTTATTTTTAGTTTCCCTTACCCAGGTGGCTGTATCACACCTAGATGGTGACTACTGCGGAGAAGCCTAGCCAAGAGTTTTAGAGTTTTCATTTGGCTTGATGAGTGTCTCCTCTCTTTAAGCTAAAAAAGAAGTCACATTTTATGGGCCTGAATCAGCAAGAGAATTAAAGTACAGTACCTGAGTATTTGGGCTAGGGATACAGCTCAGTGGTAGAGTGCTGTTGCCTAGCAAGCAGGAGACCCATGGTTTCCCTCTCCGGACCGGAAAAAAGAAAAAATTCTGAGTGTTTGATGGTGTGAATACATTTTCTTAGGGAAAAAATCTCGCAGGAGTATTGAATGGGCCTCATTTAAAACTTTTAATCTATTTGAAATTATTTAAAATTTTACTGGATTTGTTGAGTTTTCACTTTGGGAAACTGAGTGAAGAGATTGGTTTTGTTTTACTTTAGCTTTTCTCAGCTATTTTGCTGATAATGTAAAGTTTTTACTATTTAAATTCACCCTGTTGCAAAGTTTGAACCTCACTGTTAAAAATTTAACTACTACTGGTAAGTGCAAGGTCCTGAGAATGATTTCTGGTGCAGAAAAAAAACATTTTTTTTTTTTTTTTAAAAACTGCTTTGGAAAAGGTGAGAGGAGGAAAGCAGGTTAGACTGTTTAGACACAGACACTGAGCCTGGAAGGAATCCAGGCTGTATGTAGGAGGTTGTAGATGAAATCTGGGAATTGTTACCATCTTTGTCTAATGTCCTGTGACCATGTCTCCGTGCATTCTTGTAGGCTGGTTGCCTCAAAGATTGATTTCTTTTTCAAAGGCATTCGGATCTGTTAATTTTGAGAAAAAGTGAAGGATGATCTGAAAATAAAGTTGTTGGTTAGAAAGAATGGGTTCAGGATAAGCCATTTTGGTTTGCCTTCCCTTCCTCTGTTGAATACTGTATTGTGTCTACCTCTGTTATTTTCAAAACTTAAGAGTCCAGGCTAGGGATATAGTTCAGTGGCAAGTGTCTGCTTGGCAAACACAAGGTCCTGAGTTCAATTCCCATTTAAAAAAAACAACTCGAAGTAACCTGATGCCTTTCCATTATTTGCCCAGAATGGTGGTACAGGTCAGTAATCCCCAGCAGTCAGAAGCTGAGGCAGCAGGATCACTGTGAGGTCAAGGCCGGCCCAAACTGCGTAGAGAGTCCCTGTCTCAAAAACACTTTGAAACAAAACAAAACGAAACAAAACACTTAGAGTCCTTCTGAGGTTTAGAGAAAGAAATTCAACAGAGTTGAGGAAAAAAGGACAAAAGACTATCGTTAATCCGTAGTCACTGTTCATATTTTAATATTCCTAAATGCTTCCCTCATTTTAGCAGTTCATATTACTTTTGCCAAAGCTACAGGACCTGTGGTATTATTTAAGCCAGCTCATATTTCAACCTTGACTTTTTTTTTTTTTTTTTTTTTTTTGAGACAGTGTCTTGCTATGCAGTTTGAGCTGGCCTTGAGCTTACTTTGTAGCCCAGCCTGGTCTCAAACTCCCAGCTGTCCTACTGCCTCAGCCTACAGAGTGCTGGAATTACAGGTGTACCCCACTACATCCCGCTCGTTGACATTTTTTAAAGAAATCACGTTGATAATCAGAAAATTAGTATGAATAGAAGGTGAAAATATTAAACAACATTAGTAATTTCTAGCTAAATATTATTGTCTACCTAGCGCTCTAATCTTTGTTTCGGTTTGTTGGTCCTGCTAGATGATAATTGCTACTTGAAAACAAGCAGCAGCGCTGGGGATTTAGCTTGGTCAGTGGCTTAAAGCACCTGCCTGGCAAGAGCGAGGTTGTGAGTTTGATCCCCGTACCAAAAAAAAGGAAGAAAGTAAGCAGCAGAGAATTTGTCATGGTTCCTATCAGAAGAATTGGAAGAAAATTTATGTAAGATCATATAGTACTAGATTTATGCCTCACTGCAGTGTAGTGCACCATGCTTTGGGAAACATACTTTAAAAAATGTAGGGACCTCTTGACTCATGAACTGTGTGTGTGTAATAATAACTTACATAGCTGTCTTTACCTTCCACAACTTCCTTTTTCCCTCTTAACAGATGCGGCATTCCAAACGAACTCACTGTCCTGACTGGGATAGCAGAGAAAGCTGGGGACATGAAAGCTACCGTGGAAGTCACAAACGGAAGAGGAGATCTCACAGTAGTACACAGGAGAATAGGCATTGTAAACCACATCACCAGTTTAAAGAATCTGATTGGTAAATTACCCTTGATCTTAGTAGCTTTTTAGTTATACTAGTTTTAAGTTACTGTTTAATAGCTTTCATGTGTCAAGTTATTTTATGTTTCAGTCAACGTTTATTCATTCAGAAAACACTGACTGCATATTATAGGCTGTCCTGTGTAGGTGTCAAAGAGGTAGATGTAAATAAAACAAAGCTCCTATTTTCATATAGCTAAATCTGCCTGGGAGTGAGGGAGACAGCTGATCAGTAAGCAGATGAAAAGTGTATTTGGGAAGTCAGAGCACTCAATGGTAGAGGACTTGCCTAGTATGTGTGAAGCCTTTGGTTATGTCCCCAGCATCAAACATGTTTAGCACAAACATGAAGAGTTGAGTAGTAATACTAGAATGTCCAATGAGTGTTATTTAATTTGTACATAGGAGGGAGATGTATATTGTCGGAGGAGGTACTTAATTCAGATGAGAAAAGCAGCATGTACTATTGAAGAATGTTAAAAAGTACTTTGGGGATTAGTACTTACTTTTTACAGGTTATATTTCTTTTTTTTGGTACCAGGGCTCGAACTCACAACTGTGTGCTTGCAAGGCAGGCACTTATAATGCTGAGCTAATTCTCCCCCCCCCCCCCCCCCCCCGGTTATATTTCTAGAATAAGACCAATGGATATATCTGGGATTTTTAATTAGGTTGTGTTTTTTTTTGTTTGTTTTTTTTTTTTTTTTTTTTTTTTTGGTACTGGGACTCAAACCCAGGACCTTGTGCTTGTCAGGCACCTGCTGTATCCCCAGTCATATCCAGGATTTTCAGAAACTTGCTTTATTCTATGTTACTCCTTTACAGAGGTAGTTAGTAATTTAGAAAAGGGCTTCAATAAAAATTTACAATCACATGTGTCCTGTTTTATTATATTCGTTCTGGTATAAAACTTGGAGATAGTACATCTATTTAGAATACATTAAAAAAAAAAAAGACTAGCTTGGTAGATTTTTATTCCATTTTCCATTAATTTCTCTTTCTCATTCGTTTTGTTGGTTCTGTGTTTTCTCCTTGTTTGTGCAGATGTTCCACTGGGACTGTTTACCCGATTACTTTCTAAATTAGCCAGCTGGTTACTTTAAAACAGTATGTAATTTTTTTCCTTCTCCATGCTAAAACAGACTTGTTCTGCTAAATAATGAGCAATGTGGTCAGTGCATACTAGTCTTGCTTTATCAGACGTTACATAAGAGGAAAGTTATGGCAGGATTTCGATGACCAGAGCTAATTAATGTATCCTACAAAAAATAATATGTATTCCTTATATTCACAAGGCTTGACATTGTAGTACTAATTATTCATAGGTTTACTATACATTGTAGCAAGGAAGTGATTTGAGTGAACTTGACTTTGTTTTATTCAGTTTGACTACCTAAGAATACAATTTGGGTTAGTTTAGTTAACTGCCAGCTCAGTGCTGTCCTCTTGAACATTGACACCAGACATGTTTAATGGTTAATTGTTCACTGTAACTTAGAATACTTAATAGTTTTTTTAAGAGTAGAAACTTTATGAGGGTAATTTTTATGAAATAACAGAAAAATTCAACACGCAGAAACGTGTAAGAAGGTAGCCTTATAGGAGGATGCTAGTTGGTTATTTGGATATAAATTATTTCCAGTTTCGTCTTAAAATATCTTTGTATACAAATCTTTGCCTCTGATTGTTTCCTGAAAATAGATTCCCAGAGGCATTTTCAAGTTAAAGGGTATGAGGGGCTGGAGATTTAGCTCAGTGGCATAAGCGCCTGCCTTACAAGCAGGCAGTCGTGAGTTCGATCCCCGGTACCGATAAAAAGGAAAAAGACAAAAAAAAAAAAAAAAAAAAAGTTAAAGGGTATGGACTGTTAAAAAGATTTTGCTAAGCATTTACATTTCTTTTGTAGTGTTATACCAGATCCTGTATCTATATAATATGCACCATCTACACTCAGATCTCAAAACATAGTGTGCTGTGTTTTAATTTGATCTTTAAAAATTTAGGTAATTTGTTGACATATTTATGAATCACTTGAACATTTTTAAAAATCTTTACTTTTTCTATTATGAATTGTCTTTTACTTAGATAAGAGCTTTGTATCATGTATTATTTTAACCCATTGTCACATATATTGCAAAGTGTTGTTTCTTTCTGGTTTGTCTTTGGTGTATACTGTGAGTTGGTCCCAGAAGCTTAATCCATTCTAGGCACAGTGTTAGGAAGACTGAGGTGACTGTAAATGCCACCTTCCCATACTGAAACCAAAATTGTTACAAAGTATCAAGTCTTAAAACCATTGATTCTCTAACTTTATTGGCAATAGTATGTTTAAAATGCAGATTATCAGATTTATATTTGTATAACCTGGTCCCAGAACTCCGTATTTGATAAACTTTATTAAATAGACCCATCTTTTGAGAAATACTCCCTAGCCTGATCTCTTCTCAGCAAAAAAACTGGCTTGTATTCCCCTGGGTGAAAATGACTCTTGAGATTTTCTGCTCTTCCCAAGTAATGCGTGGACGAGTCCATTAAGCCTTTGTGCCATAAAATATAAAATGTTAATATGCCATTCTCCCTTGCAATTTTCTATTTTTCACTTTGCCAAAATCTGGCTTCCCTATAAGATACAACTCTGTTTCTTTTTCATGAATTTTTCCCTGACCTTTTTAAGCAAATTGAGTTCATTCTTTTCTGTGACTCTAAGTGACCTTTCAGCATTTCCTGCATTGTTGGATTTTATTTTTATGTGACTACAGTAATTTCAGGTTGTTTATTATGTGTTGGTGGGGACCTTGCCTTATGTGAATTTTTTTTTTTTTTTTAATATCCCATAGGACCTGTCTGGAAATAAAAATGAATGTCCATGCCCTCATTGGTTTTGGCCATTTTGAAAAGTTACAGTGAAATATTTTTAAAATTAAATCAATTTGTTCATTTTGTCTACCCTGTCCATAGTCTGTTCATATAATCTCTTAAGCTTGGTCATCAGTCATTACAGATTGAAAAGGTCCTCATCCTTTTCGTTTACTCATATTATTACCTTACCTCATGTTTTATTCTATAAATTGCTTTTGGATGAAGAAGAGCTCCAATTTCATGCAGTATTCCAGCTAAAGATTATTAGTGTTTTTTTCTGATTATCGGACTTGCATGGAAGGGATTTCTTAGAGAATTAAACAGGATGCCCTTGACTGTGGTAATTTCAGTTTGTGGAGATCTCTGACAGTTTCAAGCCACCCAACCTAGCCCCATGGTCCTAACCCTACGTACAGTTATCCAGAAGCTAGAGTTTAGACTGACGTGGGGAGTGGGAAGGGCTCTTGGGTCTCCCCAGCCTCAAGTAGGTGACGGCTTTGTGGCAGGTGGTTTGAAGAAATGTTTCTCCTTTGTTTTTGCTTCACCCAGCGCTCTGGGGAAAAGACCAGCTACTCTGGGGAATGTAAGAGGGATGGTGAGGGCAATACAGGCAACATCTGTCACTCCATTGCTTGTCAGGATTATTGTAGCTGATTTGTCTGACTGGGCAGGTGTCCCCTCTCTCCCTCAGTGCTCCATGTGCATCCCTCTTGAAGCTTCGCACTCTGTTGAAGAGGACACTCATCCCAGGTAGAGAGGGGGACGGGAAACTGGGCCAATTGAATTGATGTCCTTTTTTTCCCCCCATCAGATCAAGGCTGTTTAACTGGGATCCATTGATCCCAAGGTCTATGGCCTCAGTGAAATTCCTTGCTAAGTTTTGTTTATGCATTTGTGTGTTTCCTTGGGGAAGAGGGTCCATAGCTTTCATCAGATTCTCAAAAGGGATCTGTGGATCCAAGCACAGTGGCACCTAGATAATGCTGCTTTCGGTTGTATTTGTATTTCTCTAGTAGGAAATAACAGGAAATTAGAAATACAGAGGGGAGTTGGGTGGTGGGACTTTCGTAATCCTGGGCAGGCAGTACAACATCTCTTTCTCATTTGCATGGCATATATTTTAGATGTTTTCAGCACACTATGTTGTCTTGTCAAGCAGGAGTAAGAGAAGGCTAGATGTATCAAGAGATGATGTATAATAGGTTTGAAAACGGCTCAGTTTTTGTCACTAACGTGCTTTGTAACCATCGCATATCAGAGATCTTTTAGTAAAATAAAAGGGTTGGAATGCATTTAAGGCTTCTTGAATCTCTAGCATACTTTCAAGGAAGAATGTTGTGTGCTGGGATATCTAAAATGCATTTACATTACAAGAGAAAGGAATCCTGTTTTGCCTGCCTCTGTGAGTTCTACCAGAGAGGAAAACACTGAGGAGCAGTTTTGTGAATTTTGGTTTTAACTTTGTCCGAAAGGTAAAAACACTTAGCAAACACTGAACATAATTTGACTCATGCTTTGTTCCTTGGTGTGAAGTGCTTGACTGCAATTTTTACAATGGAGAGATTCGGACCCATTTGCTTGTTGATTAAAATTAATAAGTATAAATTCACCAATTTGCATTTTTTCTTTTATTGAGTTAGCTGTTTAAACCAAGAAATCTTGAGTACTTTTTTGAACCTTGTTATTCCACAGTGAAGAGAGTAATTGGACCTCCTTTAATGTGTTCGCAGTCATTATTTAGAAGCAAGGTCCTTGAATGAGAGAGATTATCGGGACCGGAGATACATAGATGAATACAGAAATGACTACTGCGAAGGATATGTTCCTAGACATTATCACAGAGACATTGAAAGTGCTTATCGGATCCACTGCAGTAAATCCTCAGTCCGAAGTAGGAGGAGCAGTCCTAAAAGGAAGCGTAATAGACACTGTTCAAGCCATCAGTCACGTTCGGTAGGATTGATTTCTTTTTTATTCTGAGTAAATTCTTATTTGTGTGTAAAAGCTCTTAAGGAACATAAAGTTTCTAAAAGTTTGTTGTTTATATAATGCTGTTTGAAAGTATTATATTACTTTTATCCTTAGAGGAAATTTCCACATTTTTAGAACTGATCTATGTATTTAATAGCTAGCTCTCACTTGCCCACATTTACTCAAATTCTGCAGACCAGACCATGAATTTATCTATTATAATAAAAGTATTTTGTATTTATATATTTGTGTAAAAAATGAAGTACCCATCTTTTCTTTCAACTTAAATACATTTTTTTTACTTTGAAAGAAATCTCTTTTCTGATGCTTAGTAACAAATATGTGAGGTTGCACTGTCAGATATTAAATGTTGTGTATATATACCATAGTATTACAATATAGTGCATCATTGTAAATAGCTATTGTGTTGAAATTGTAAAAATGGATGCTAAGAAATGTAATAGAGACAGCCTTAAAAAAAAAAAAAAAACACATTTTCACGTGTTTAATCTGTAAACTTGGAATCATGGTTTTCTTTCCCAAGTTTTCTTCAGTAAAACTAGCTGTTAGTAGATTGATCATTGAAATTAACTAGTCTTTGTTTTTCCTTACTTTAATCATGTATAATTTAAAATAATGCTAAATATGAATAATTTCAACTAATCTTGACATTTAAAAACAATTTTTCTGACAAAACTAGACATCTCAACTCACAGCATATGCTAGTTATAGCTAGACGTAAGTAAATCATGACATTGCATTCTTTAAACTTCAGACTTCAATTAAATCAGTATTTTAAAGAGACAATTGTGTTGTTTTTTTCTATTGCCACTTTAAGTATCTTATCTGAAAATCTGTTCCTTGCCATGTTTTTCTTCTGTAACATAAACTGTGCCCTGTGAATTTCTGGGGACTGAATTTGAAATTGCTCCTGCCAACTGTTCGTGGCCTGGTGCTTATCTGAATGCCTGAATATCTCCCCGCTGAATGAATTGCGTATTCTGCCCTGAATTCACTCTGATATATTGATTGGCTGGACGATCTTGGTGCTGCCCACTTGCCGTTCCAGAAGAGCCACCGAAGGAAAAGATCCAGGAGTATAGAGGATGATGAGGAGGGTCACCTGATCTGTCAAAGTGGAGACGTTCTAAGAGCAAGATGTATAGAATATTTTTCAACACTTTTTAAACTTTGCAGACAGAATAATCTTTTTAAGAGTAGTTTGTCAGCGGGGGGCTAAAGAACTCTTCATTGCTTTTTTGTTTTGTTTTTTGTGGGTTTGTTTGTTCTTTTGTATTTCTTCTTTTCTGTAGAATTTAAATATTTCTACTCTAAAAATTCAAAATTAATCAGTGGAATTTGAAATTAGAGCAAGAAAGATAGCTCTATCTAATTGTTTTCATAGCAGCTGAAAATAAAATAATTTGAGTGCTGAAACCTTAGTTATGCTTTGATAGAGATCATTTGAAAATATTCCACACTTAAGCATTCATTGTTTGAATAACTAGACAATCTGGACACAGGTACTTAAACCTTTTCTCTCCCTCACTTTAGATGAAATTGTGGACACTTTGGGTGAAGGGGCCTTTGGCAAAGTTGTGGAGTGCATTGATCATGGCATGTAAGTTTTTCTTTTTTGAATATTCTAAATTTTTGATGGAGAATAATTTATAATTTAGATATTTTCGATGATAGCTATATATTTTCTTGGGGTATTCAAGAAAATTTCTTAAACTATAATTTATTTACCATGAGTGCATTTGGATGGGGGGGCTTTTGTGGCTCTTTCGGAGATGACGTCTTGCTGTATAGATGAGGCTGGTCCTGAATTGACTGTGTAAACCCTTGGCTGGCCTCAAATTGATGGCAGCTGTCTTGCCTCACCTTTCTGAATTCTGTTTATGTAAATGTGCTGCTATACCCTACTTCAAGTGGATTTTAGTCAAAATGTGTCGGAGTTCACTGAACGTAAAAGTGGATGTGCAAATGAAATTGTTTTCCCACAGCTAAGGTCCATGGTGCTCTATAAGACATGCAGGTACTTTTGGATTGCACTGACAGTAAAGCATATATAAACTTGCATATTAGAATTAGCATTGTTTTTCTTTTCCTTTTAAAAAATTTTTTGAGACAGGGTCTTACTGTGTAGCTCAGATGGACCTTGAACTCTTTTTATAGCCTAAGCTGGCTTCCAATTCATTATATAGCCCAGGCTAACTTCCCTGATCACCGTGGTCTAAGTGCTGGGATAATAGGTCTTCATCACCACACCCAGCTAATGTTAGCTTTCTAAACTATAAAGAAATTCCTAAAGACCCACAAAATAAAAGACTACAATCTTTCTCTTTTTTTTTGGTGATATTAGGGATTGAACTTACAGCTATGTACTGCATATGAGATAGGCAAATGCACTTTGCAACTGAGCTGTAATCTTAACACCCCCCCCCCCACACACACACAGGTTCTCATTAAATTGCCCAGACTAGCCTTGAACTTCAGATTTATTTATTTATTGTATTGGGGATTGAACTCATAACCTTGTGCTTTCCAGGCAGGCCCTTATGCCGCTGAGCTAAATCCCCAGCTGAACTTTAGATCTTTCTGCCTCCTTTAGAATAGCCACTCTGCACCCAGTGACACTAAATTCTTTGTTTTTGAAATTGATGGAAGCTAGCTTTCATTTCCAATGTGGCCCAGGCAGGCCTGGAATACAAAGTGATCCTCCTGCTTCACCTTCCAGGTGGTGGGTTTACACGGGTGTGCCACCATGCCCAGCTTTCTAGTTCTTGAATAAAGCGTAATAAAGCGAAACAACCTATTTGGCACACACTGTCTTATTTTTCCCTTTTCCTCCAAGAAACTACAGTATTCTGTAGTTTGCCACCTCTTGGGGCGGGGTGGTGTGCCGAGGATCAAACTCACAACCTTGCACTTGTCAGGCAGGCGCTTATGCAGCTGAGCTAAATCCTTGACCTGTGCTACCTCCTCTTTGTAAATGAAGCTCTTAAATTTGTTGAAATGACACATTTCTAAAGTGACATCTGAATTTTAATCATAAAATAGCTCAAAAGGTTGTAACTTCAGCTTTTTATAAATAAGGTTTTTTTATCTTTTTATAAAATTTCACCTATTGGCATTTGAGAGACTTTCTGTGTATGCACTGGTATGCACTTGATCTCAATTTTTTTCTTCAGTCTGGGTACACCTATACATAAGTTAATCAGCAGTGGTTGTACAGCCACTCAGGCCTGTTATGTTCAGGTTCTTTGCTTGTCACTGTCCAAATCAAAAGGCGCAAGTTATTTGGTGAAAAGACGAAGGCTTTCTTCAAGGCTAGCTCCATGGAGATGGAAGGGCGTCACTTGCCTGAAGCCACCTTTAAGTCTGGTGTGCAGGGGTCTTCTGTAGTAAGGAACATTTAAAAGGAGAAAGAGAACAGTGCGACAAAAGTTCTTCTGAGAAGGTTAAAGTGTTAGGACTGTGTGCTTGATAATTTAAAATGCTTATTATTAAAGAGCCATACTGTAATTTCAGCACAAAATCTTTCCTCAGTAATTCTTAATATAACTATCACAGTACTACATAGGAAAGAAGTAAGCATGACACTATTAGAACCACTTGTTCTTGGCCAGGAGCAGTGTGGTTTCCAGGTAGAAAATATAGGTATGTTTCACGCAGAGTTGTAATCATAAGCAGTTGGAGGTGGGTATGAGATAGGCAGGCCTGATACTAGCAATGTGGACCAGGAAGCTAGTGGTGCAGCTCAGATGAGAATCAGCAGTAAGGGGCTCAGAGAGGAAGACTTCATGAGAGAAAAATGGTCTGTAAACCCGGGAGTGCATCTTGGCCAGTGCCAAGACAGCAGGTGAAGTCAGTAGGAGCCACACCTGCTTATTTAAGGTTCCCCTTGTGTTGGCCAGGGAAGTTGGGGAAGAGCAAGGCTCTCCAGGGCTTTATCTGATTCAAGCACGGGCACAAGAACTGTTTATGGTCAGTATTCTTTTTGAGTCAGAATCATGGAGGAGGAGAGGGAACTTCGATCACTTACTCAGAAAGTATATATATATGAGCTTTGGATAGAAATATTTAATTGATTTATCCTAATGAAGCTAGTGATGTGCAGCAGGACCTTTTTTGGTAAATGGCATCTCTATTCTAGCTGACGTTTTCAAAAGAATTTTTAACATTTTCATTTCCCTAAATCAAAAATACTCATCTAATGTACTTGTCACATAATTTATAACATTTAGTGATAGATTGCTTCTAGTATTTCAATTATTGTGCTAATTTAGATATATAGATAATTTATATTTCTTATCAAAAAACTTAAAAGTACAGTGTGCTCCCTTTTTTTCCTAGTCTCTATTTGGATCTGAAGTAGTAAGTATGTTATACACATAGATGACTGTGAATGGCCTCCTAATACCATACCATACCGATCAATGCTTCTTCATTATGGCTCATCTGATAATAATTTACATGGTTGTAATACTGTATTTCATCCTGAGAAGCGTCATTGTCTCCTCATTGGCTGAATCTAGAAATTCAAATCCAACCTGCAAAGCCTTGAAAAAATCTTAACAGCATAATAACTGCTTCATCCTTGCCATCATCCATGGACACTCTTAAATGCCTACTCAGAAGTGTTTTATCCTTGGGGTGGACATGTAGCTCAGCAGTAGAGCACTTGCCTAGCATATCCAAGGCCCCAGTGCCATTAAAAAAACGTTATGTCTTTGAATTTATCCTGTTATCCTGTTATCTTTTATTATCACCCATTTCTGCAATAAAAATTTGATCATGTTAAATTTTATAATACATGGAAATACTTTTAGACTCACAGAAAAGTTGCTAAAACAGTTCAGAGAGCTCCTACAATCCTTAAGGCAGATTTGTTTTATCATTGTGTGTGTATACATGTCATACTTCAAATTTGTCAGCTAATGTCCAGATCTTCCATTTCACAAATTATGCTCCCTTAATACTCTTAAAATTTCCTAAGACTCTTAATTACTGAATAGTTAAGGTATTCTAAGTAATAGTATTTAATAGGTCAGAGAACAAATTCTTGTACTTCATATACCTAAAAAGCTAATTGAAAGGTATCTTTTATTAGGATATACAAAGTAACTACATGTATCCATAGATAAATATCTTACTGCTCCGAATCGCCTTTTTTTTTTTTTTTTTTTTAAATCTTGAAACAAGGTCTTGCTGTGTAGTTTTTAGGTTGGCCTTGAACTGGTGATGATCCTACTGCTTTGGCCTCCTGAGTGCTGCTGGTACAGGCATGTGCCACCACGTCCAGCTGTATAGCTGACATTTGGGAGTAGAAGTTTGCCTTAGGTTTTGATTTGGGGGGTGATGCTGAGGATTTCGCCTGAGCCTTGTACATGTTAAACAGATGTTCTCTCACTGAGCCACATACCCAGGCCAGATAGTTAGAAGAATTCTTTTAGTCTTGAGGTCAGCAAATGTCATAGGAAGATTACTACAAAAACATAGGTAGTGATTTATCAAGGCTCCCCTTCACTGGGGCTTTGAAAGCAATGAATTGGAAACCAGTAGCCAAAGAAAAGTTTTGCTACATAGTGTTATATTTGTTTGTTGACCTCAAAGATGTTTCAAAGCCCAGGAAGTTCTTTTGTTAAGGTGGAAGTAGCAGAGTAAGAAAGGTGTGGATGCTAGCTGATCTTTAGGCTATAGGTATAGAAAAGAGGACAAAAGGAGGTTGAACGTTTGAAAATTGGATTCTTTAGAATATTCATGATGTTACACTTTTTTGGGGGGGTACCAGGGTTGGAACTCAAGGTCTCAGGCCAGCCAGGCAGGCGCTTAAGTCACTGAGTTAAACCCCCGGCTCCTCATGGTGCTATACTTTTTGCAAAATAGTCTTGTAAATGCCACAATCTTAAAGCCCACTGATACAAACTAGTTCTTCCTATGTTCTTGCCAGTGAATGTACTAAGCATATTTAATGGTGTCTTGCTGAATTGTTTCATTTCCCTACCAGTTTGATGGTTTCACAGCTATATTTGTGTACTCAGTTCTTTGTTGTAAATAGTTGGGTTAAGTTAGGGCTTAACCTTTCCTGTGATGAAATCTGTTGTTCATCCGTCTTCTGTTAGACTGTGAGGCATGCAGAGACAAATCCATCTTTTTATCACTTAACGCTTACATACTGACACCAAGTAGGTCTCGCTTGCTGAATGAATGCCATATAAATCAATATGTAATGTATGTTTCAGTATAAGGCCTAGGTAAATGTGAAATTCTAGGAATAAACATTAAAATTCATAAGTATTAAGGAATCACTTGAGTCATGTGTACTTAGTGAGAACATTATATAGAATTTGGTATAATATACTCCAAAGGACTATTTTAGAAAAACAGCATAAAGGAATTGATAGTCAAGATTGTAGATTAAAAGATAAATGGTGTTAACCCACTTCTGTACATTTAACATATTCATCTTAACTTTGTTTTTTAGGGATGGCTTACATGTAGCTGTGAAGATTGTAAAAAATGTAGGCCGTTATCGTGAGGCAGCTCGTTCAGAAATCCAAGTATTAGAGCATTTAAATAGTACAGATCCCAATAGTGTCTTGTGAGTATACATTTGAACCATGAGTTGTCATATTACTTGAAATAATCAGAATTCTGTGAACTCAGTTACTATTTTGGTCTCTTTTAGTCGATGTGTCCAGATGCTAGAATGGTTTGATCATCATGGTCATGTGTGTATTGTTTTTGAACTGCTGGGACTCAGTACCTATGACTTCATTAAGGAAAATAGCTTTCTGCCATTTCAAATTGATCACATCAGGCAGATGGCATATCAGATCTGCCAATCAATAAATTGTAAGTATACTTGATAAATCTTTATAGACACTAGACTTTTTTTATTATGTCGGCAACATATCAAAACTTGTCACTAAAAATACACATAATACAGGCAAAAATACACATCATACAAGCAATATCCATTACTAATCTCGTCACCTCTTCCAATAGCAATTAAATGTATAAGTGAAACTAACAATGTCTTTTTGTTTTTGTTTTAGTTTTGCATCATAATAAATTAACCCATACAGATCTGAAACCAGAAAATATTTTGTTTGTGAAGTCAGACTATGTAGTCAAATATAATTCTAAAATGGTAAGTTTAAAGGCTTGTTTTAATTTTGGTGGTTATCTTTAAGATTAGTTTTGTTTGGTGATCCTTGAGGGCTTTCACTTCTGAACCTCATTTTATCCTGATGTTTAACCATGCATGAGCCTGGGGTTGTGGTTGGGGTTCTGTAGTAGGCACTTGGCTGGCATGTGCAGGCCCTCGCTTCAGTTCTCAGCACTGCAGAAAGACGAAAAAAGTCCTGCTAGGCTTTTGTCAGTAGTTCCTAGAATACTTTATGCCATTGGTGAGTTTCATGTATATTCAATTGTTTTTCTCTAGAAGCGGGATGAACGCACACTGAAAAACACAGACATCAAAGTTGTTGACTTTGGAAGTGCAACATACGATGATGAGCATCACAGCACTCTGGTGTCCACACGGCACTACAGAGCTCCAGAGGTTATTTTGGGTGAGTAGGAGACAGGTGTTTGTCCCTTATGGCTTTTACTGAGGTGGGGAAGGGGATGGCTAGAAGGATTTTCTTGATATGCAGGAAACATTTTCTGTTATTATAACTACTGTGTAGATATTAATATAAATATTTTTCCTGGCTAATACAAATGATACTATTCATGATACCACTAGATAACCCAAGTTTTATCTTTTTTTTCAAGTTGATCTTAAGACATAAAAAAGAATAGGTTCTGTTACCTAAGTGCATTATAGCAGTGTGATTTCGAAGTTTTGTAGGTACCTATTCTTACAGTGTTTCAAAAGTATGATTCTGTTACAAATGCTGAGAGTTTGATTGACAGAATCTTGATTCAGAGTAGACAAAGGTCAAGAGATGGTCATTGATAGATTCGAAAGAAAATTAGTTATGGTGGAGTTTTGAAATAAGGCACTCAGGGAGCACTTGTGTTACACCTCAGAATTTATGTCTTTAAAATTTAAAGGGAGAGCCCCAGTCATGTATGAAAGATGGGGTGGAGGTTTAGAGATGATGGGAATAGTTCGTATTAGGTGCTAATGAGAGTTTGTAGTTCCAAATGTAGACAAGGGAGAGTCGATAAAAGTCTGAGATTGGCATCTTCAGCCTTGAGGAAAAGGTATCTGAAGATGGGTAGACTACCTGTTTGTGGAGTATTCCTGAGGGTGAAGGCAGAATTGGGTTAGAGGGGAAACTGTAACCTGGGAACTACAGAAGAGGGAAGGCAAGTTAAAAGTAAGAAGAGTGATGTGGAATTGGCGAGTATCCAAAGAAAGGGATCACATGCAGCAGAAGGTTACAGCCACATGGTGGAAACCAATCCAGTACTGAGAAAATGGGCATGGCTGAGAAGAAAACTTTTTACCTAAGGTGTAGGTTCTAGTGTTTGTAGGTTCTACATGTGTTGGTCACAAGTTAACACTACCATATAATTATGTGTTCAAGTGATGGGCACTGTGGGGGAGGGCTCAACAGAAATGACTGGGGTGCAGTCAGGGCCTTTGAATATATTGCTGCATAATTTACAGTATTTTAAATGGAAGCAACTCACTTATCAAACTGGCCATAATTGATAAGAGCTAAGTAATTATGCTTTGAGAATAATCATAGACCTATTTTTGCACTCAGTAGAAATTCCTGATGTACCATGAACAAAGTGTAATAGTTGTAGCAGTAATGTTGTCCATCAAATTTTGATATAAGCACATGAATCATACTGGGTGATCATTCCGGGAGTAAACCTGGAATTTATAGTGTTCCCCAAATAGACTATAAAGAGCACACCCATATAGGGAAGGATTTAGTGCATTTTCATTTAAAAGTTGTTGCATAGTAAGATGTTTGTTTGTTTTAAATAGCTTTGGGTTGGTCTCAGCCTTGTGATGTGTGGAGCATAGGTTGCATTCTTATCGAATACTACCTTGGATTCACAGTCTTTCAGGTATGTATCTAGTAATTTTTATTTAATGATTCATAATGAATTCTAAGTGTTAAAAGCATGTTAAAATTTTAGCTTCTCTGTTGGAAAGTTGCCATAAGTCATTATTCTTGAGATTATAGCATATATATGCAAATCATTATCTTCTCCAAATCCAAAGTTAAATGAAATTTGCTGTTAGTGAATAGTCATAGCTAACTTTGCATGTAATTGACATCTGAGGTTTATAATGTCTCATGTTCCCTTTCAAATTACAGAGCTCCATATATTTACATTTAGTGTTGATACAGTTAGTTGTGTTGAATATTCTTTTTGTGTAAAAGAATTCAAGAAAACAACTATATTGCTCTAGCATATCTGTCAAGAAAATCATGCAAAAGATAGGGAACAGTAGCTCAGTGTAAAAAGTATAGATCGATCCCCAGTACCGATAAAAAGGAAAAAGACAAAAAAAAAAAAAAAAAAAAAAAAAGTATAGGAGAGTCCAGGAGTAGAAATTGGTCAGAAACCTGGAGAGGGACACGCATGTGAAGGAGAAAGCAGCTGTGGTATCTACATGCAGAGGAGTAAAGGATGTGTTGTAGTCAGGAGCATTGCACTGTCAGCAGCTTGTGTAAATAGGCAGTGGTGAAGTGGTGACAGTGGGCAAAGATTGTTGTATACTCTAAAAGGTATTTGTTTTACCCTTAAAGAAACTGGTTTCCAAAGGTAGACCCAAAGTGAAAACAGTTTTTTGTAGAGTTAACCATTCTAGTTTTTATTTAGAAATTATCCCTCCTACAGTTAAAATGTCCCATGTATGAAATGACAGTGGCAGTTGGTAGTTGAATTTTTAAAGTAGAAGTTTTTAATTGGCAAAACAAAATAAAAAACTGTTTGATTTCATTTTTTTCCCTGATTATTTTACTTATATCTAAAAGTGTTGAAACCTTTGGTATGCAACTATTGAAGAATTAATGATCAAGATGCTGTGTTAAGTTTTGCTTTATTTGTGGAAATCCCAGCTCAGTCCTGTTAAGGTTGACTGGAAGTTACAGCAATGCAGACACAGGAAAGCAGTGTTAAGAGTCACTTAGGTGGCTATAACACAAGTACAAGTTCACTGTGGGTCCTTCACAGGCTTTTGTTTCTGTGTCATTTGTAGAAATCCTGTTGAAAGTATTCTTTGGTTGGTAGGCAGGTTTAATGGCTAGAACCATGGTTATCTACCAGTTCTGGCAAGTTGGGTTCTAGTTTTATAGTAGTGAGCTGCAGGGTCAAGAAAAAGTTAAGCATAGCTTATACTAAATGATTTAATAATTGTAAGTCAGTCTGAAATCTTAAGGTATAGATTTATTAACACTAATTTGAGATGTGGTTTATATTTTCATTCCATCCTGTGAAATAGCCTTAAACTAAAAACCTTTTCAAAATACAGAGCTGGATTTATTTGTTCAGAATTACTGACATTTTAAAAGTAGTGCTCCAGGTACTGTGGAAAGTACCTTAGACTTGGAAAGTGTTACACAGCCCTGTTCTGTAGTACAAGGGTTGGCAGACTGTGGCCCATGTGAAGTTGTGTCTGGTGCCTGTCTTTAAAAAGGATTAGAGAATGGAAATGTAGTAGGTCACTTGCCTAATATGTGAAAGGGTCTAGGTTTGACCCATAGCCCTGCCAAATATGTATATAATTATTATTATATAAAGAGACTTTTGGGAGCAGCCAAATCAGATGTATTGGCTGTGTCCTGGAAAAGTTGGCCAACCTCTTCTCTCAGAGCCTGTCATTCATTTCAGCAATGTTCTTGTGTTCTGCTTAGCTAAAGCTGTATGGATAGTTTGAGAATATGAACTTTTGATTAGGGGTTATGGCTGAAGTTTCCTTGTTCATAAGCTCTATGACTTGAAGCTAGTGTTTTAGCATTTTTCTTATATCCCCCTCCTTCACACATGCATAGCTCAGGATTGTTGTGAGAATTACGGGCAGTGTGTTTTCATTGTCTGGGATATAAGTGATGATAAGGTATAAGTTTGTTGGGTAGAGGTAAACCTTGATTAAGTGGCTGATTAAAGGAAAAAGCAGCAGTTTGCTGATAATCTCCTATTCTTCAGTGCAGGAAGTACAAGTAAAGAAGGAAGTTGTTCTGTTCTGAAAGTTACATGTTTATTGCTATCAGCTCTCACTAATGGCTCAGATTAGTTTTACTGTGTTTGTATCGGACAGCACAGCTTACTCAATTTGTCCCATCTTTGAGGAATCGTGTAGTGTAAATCCTGTAGCTGGCTAGTTGAGTCCTTCTGTATCAGCATAATATATTCCTACTTTTTTTAAACTACGCATTTAGGAAATAATTTTCCAAATTCCTTGTTTCTGCATTTTTTTAGACTCATGACAGTAAAGAGCACCTGGCAATGATGGAACGTATATTAGGACCCATCCCAATACACATGATTCAGAAAACAAGGTATGTGTTACAATTAAAGTCCTTTGTTGGCTATAGTCAGTCACCTGGTTCCAAACTGCACAAATCCTAAAATTGTGCATAACCCTTCTTCCAAGGACTGGGTTATTTTTTGTTTTTCTATACTGGTGACGCTGTAATACCTCCTACCCCTTAGAGTCATGTTTTCAGAATACAGTTCAGCATGTACCTTATGATCTAATGAAATGGTGTTTTGTATGTGTGTGTGTATTTATACATATTTATATTTTCAAGTTAAACTTTGTATAAATTCTTTCCTATGTTGATGTAAAACTTAACAAGCTGTGAATAAGCTTATCTGTTTGGAGTTACAACCAGTCCGAGTTGGAATTTCCTGCTAACCAATTATATGTCCTTGGACAAGATACTACAGTGGTTCTAAACACAGCTTCACCAGAGCCTCATCTGAGGAGGTTAAAGATTTCTAGCTCCATTCCAGATCTGGTGAAATCAGAACTCACAGGAATGGATTCAGGAACCTCTGTTGAAAGCTGGCATTGTCCCATGCATGGTATTTGGGGAAGAACTTAGCTGGGATGTGAAACACCAGAGGGTGGAAGGGAAAGCAGGAGATTGTATGACGGTGTCTCATGCAATTGTTTGGAAGTTTCGTAACCTCGTAAGAAGTTGCGTATCTGTTCCCAGAGAGGAGCTGCGCTTCCTTTTATTCCCCATCCTGTGTAGGGCAGGGTAAACCTGCAGGTCTTCTGTTACTTCCTAATCCAGACTTCTTTTTCCTCCATAGGAAACACAAGTACTTTCACCATAACCAGCTAGATTGGGATGAGCACAGCTCTGCTGGTAGATACGTTAGGAGACGTTGCAAACCACTAAAGGTAAAAGGGAAAAAAGTTAACATTGAGGAAATAACATTTACACTATATTACTAAAATCTTTTTTTTTTTTAAAGCCAGTCAAATTTAGCAGTGGGTGGGTGGCATACCAACTTTAGTGACACTAATGTTAATAAGTTCTGATAACCCACTGCCATCGGACGAGCCTACTAAGATCTTCTTTAATGAGAATATTTTCCCCCTAGGAATTTATGCTCAGTCATGATGAAGAACATGTGAAGCTGTTTGACCTGGTTCGAAGAATGTTAGAATACGATCCAACTAAAAGAATTACCTTGGATGAAGCATTGCAGCATCCTTTCTTTGACTTATTAAAAAAGAAATGAGAGTCAGTGGTCTTACTATATGCTTCTCTAGAAGAGATTTCTTTAAGACTGTGTCAGTCAACTAAACATTCTAATATTTTTGTAAACATTAAATTATTTTGTACAGTTAAGTGTAAATACTGTATGTTTTATATAGGTAGTATAATTGCCTTGTTAAGCAAGTATGGGCTTGATAATGAAATATAAAAGTTAAAAATAATTTTTTTCTTTTTGAGATTGCCATTTTTAAAGGCTTTTGGAATATCTTTGTGTCCAGTGATACATGTGACTGATCTAGTCTTTTGTACATGGAGGTCAACTTTGAAGTGATTTTTTTGAGTAAAAGGAAATCTTGACTACTATATATTGTTAAGTGAATGTTCTTTAAATACCTCAAAATTAGAGCTTTCATTTCTGTGATTGTAACTCTAAGCAGACAGATACTAGAAACCAAAACCCATAGGAAACAATTCCTGTTAGAGTTTTACTGGACCCTAAGTTCTGTGTTCCGTTTTCCTTGGGTGATGTCAGTGGGGACAAGCAAGTGTTCCCGCAGAGGCTTCCGTTGTTCATTGTGACAGGTTGTTTAATAAAGCCGTGTGCACTCACTCCTGGTGGAGAGTCATCTCGGAAAGTCCTGTTTTCCCAGGGTGGTTTGGTGAGTCAGACATAAAAACAGGGATGCTGCTGACTGAGGTTTTAATTTTTTACTTGGTTTTGTGATGCTAGGGATCAAACCCAGGGCCTAATGCATGCTAGGCAAGTGAACTATCACTGGCCTACACCCTCTACCTTTTTTTTCTTCTTTCTTTCCTTTTTCTTTTTTTGTCTTTTTGAGACAGGGTCTTGCTACGCAGTTCAGGCTGGTCTTGGGCTCATTTTGTAGCCCAGGCTGGTCTCAAACTTGCAACAACCCTCCGGCCTCACCCTCGAGAGTGCTGGGATTACAGCAGTGCACCACTGCACCTGGCTTTAGGTTTTAGTTTTTATAATGCCAAGTCCTTAGGAGTCTTGAAATTGCCTGCTATGCTTCCTTAATGAATAAACCCCCATTTTGTGAGAATTAGGGCTATTATGAAGTCATACATACTTTTGATAATTCCCAACTCTGGAAATTTTTGCCTATATGTATTTTTGCCCAAAAGTTTTGCCTATATGTATTTTTCCTGGTTTACCTGTTACCCATAAAAAAACTACATGGCAATTTTTTTTAATGGGGGTGCGGGGAATATGGGGATCAAACCTTGTGCTTGCAAGGCAGGTGCTTATGCTGCTGAGCTAAATCCCCAGCCTCAACATGGCAGATGTTAATTCAGTAAAAAATATTGTTCAGTCTGTAAGATAGAATTTTTTGTTACAGAATTTGTAATCAGATCTAGTTATTTATTGAAAATATCCCTACCTCACCAGGGAATTTCAGATAGCTTTGAGTGTTTCTATGTACTTTAAATAGAAGATGCGTGGAATTCTTCGATGTGATGCTAGTGAAGCCAGGTGGTTTTCTGTCTTACCCAAAGCCAGTACGGTACTTGCCAGTAGGCTATGCTCCAAAAGTTGACTGGAACTTTTGAAACAAGCTTGCCATACAATCACTGCATAAATTAAATTTAGCCCTCTGATGCAATTCATGCAGACTGAGTGTACTCTTGAGGTGAACTATAGTTTATGTGGTAATGTTTCTTAAAGGAGCATTTGGTATTTTGTTAAGATTTTTTCCCCCTGAAATTATGGTCCTGTATGAGATGTGACTGAAAAATACAGTAAACAGGAATTTTTTAAAAAAAATTGTATGACAGTGAATGATACATTGCCATTATTCCCCTCAAGATGATCCCCACTTTCCTTCCTGCCACTGCTTTTTGGTACCAGGAATGGAACTCAGCGTTGCGCTTGCCAGGCAGACATTGTGCTGCCGAGCTCTGTCCCCATCCCTTTGCACTTCATGGAGCAGTTCTGAGAGTCTGTCTTCACGCAGGTCTAGTCAGTCGCAGGTCTAGTCCATCGGGCTGTCAGGACTGCCTTGATGTCCTGAACCGAGCAGAAGGCGCACAGTTGCAGATGTGGTGAGGTGGGTGAGGACCACCGTGGTGATGGGCAGTCTGCCCTTCTGTGATGGTGCTTGATGGGATAGTCCCCGTGCTCTGACTGCACCCTGTAAATACGCCCACAGCAAGGACCTGCAGAGCTGCTTCCATAAAGTGCGGAGAAAGGCGAGAAGCATATTTGAAGAGATGGGATGGGTAATTAAAGGATTAATGGCAATGAGTGTTTTACTGTGATAGCTTTTAAAAATCGTAAAACACTGACCGTATATTTCAGTCACACCTTGTACAGAGTCAGATGTTTGCTGTATGTTACTTCTCACTCCATTTCCATCTCATTCTTGCATTGCTACTTCCCCGAGCTTCCTGGTGTTTCCTTGTGTGAGTCTCAGGTTTCCACGTGTGTCTGCTTTCCACCAGAAACTGGTTCTCACAGGCACTGAGCTCAGCACACAGGGGACAGGAAGTCCATCCACACGAAGAAGTTAACGGCTGACATCCATTTTCTTCTGAGCATGACTTACATTATTAACTGAGGGTATTTGTAGTTCCTAGACTTAAAGAATTTTAAGAATTAGCGTGGAGAGTTTAAAAATTGGGACCATTTTATGAGCCAGGGTTACAGCGCGTCGCTCAGATGGGCTCAGAGGCTTCATCCTCTGGCCTCATCCCCCAGGGAGCGGGCTGGTGCCCAGGCGCTGTAGGGCACTCTTTCGTGTTTCCAGTTTTCATTGCCTTTCCCTTACTCTTCTGGAATCATACTGTGAAGCTCCAGGGTTTTTATTGTTTTCATTGTTGCTGTTTTGCTTTTTGTCTTTTACAGTGTTTAATCTACATCAGTGGGTAAATACAGACCACTTTTAGGTATTTTTCTTAATTTGACAGTTCATGGTTTCTAGAAATTTCACTGAAGTTGAGGTTTTCTTGAAACATTTATGAAAGTGCAGGTGAGTAGATGGCTTTTCTGGTGCTGCCGTCTGAGATTTTTCATTAAGCTATGCATTCTTTAGAATTTTCAGAGTAGAGGAACCAAATGGGTTGCTGTTAGTAAAGCTAGTGGTAGGAGACAGACCACCCTGTGAAATTCCGTACTTGCTGGTAGAGTAATCCTGAAGAGCCGAACACCAGAGAAAGTGGACGTACCGTGGCCAGGTCTTCCAATTATGAGAAAACTGGGACTTGGACTTCGGTTTGCTGCAGTGGAGCATGGTGTGAGGAAGTCCTGTGCCGGCCGGGTCAGTGAGCTGGAAACAACGGTGTGGTTCCTGTTCACAGTTCTGTGAGCAGACTTGGGTGAGGCGGAGAGTGGAAAGCTGTATTACTTTGATTGTACTACTTGATGTATCACATTTAAAACAAGCTTTAGTGTGTGCTTACAGTACATAATGTATTCGTCATGTGGTATTGGTGTAGAATACATACTATATCTTGATCGTTCCTCCATCTCAGTTCTCCCTGCCCCACGGTCTCTTCCTGTCCACAAAGTCTACCTGTTTTCTAACATCTTTCATTTTGCTGTATATTACATATTTCTCATATAAGAAACCATTAGATATTTACCTTCTGTGCTAATGCATTTCATTTGGCATTGCAGATTTAAAATGCAGCCATTTTCCCACAAATGACTCAAAATTTATACTTCACGGCTGAGTAATACTCCATAGCGTATGTATTAAATTTTCATTGTCCATTCCTCTGTTGGTGGGGATACAGACTCCTCCATAATTTAGCTCTTGTGAAATACATTGCTATGAACATGAGTGTGCATATAATATGGTGTCTTTAACTCTTTGAGAAGATACCCAGAAGAAGTATATCTGCATCAAATGGGATTTCTGTTTTTAGGGTCTATGGTATGTCCACACTGACTTCCATAGTAGTTGTGCTAGTTCACATCCCCATCAGTAATGTAGAAGGGTTCTTTTTTCCACAACCACAAATTCCACGGCATTTGTTTTTGGTTGTTTTGTCTGAGCCATTCTTCGTAAGATGAAATTTCAGTGGTTTAATTTCCATTTCTCTCATGGCTGAAGATGCTGGGCTGTTTTTACGTACTCACCATTTGTTACGTACATTTTTGGGAAGTGCCTCTCATTTTAGTTGCCCGTTTTTTTATTATAGTCTTTTATTTGGGAGGGAATCATTTTATTTTTCTTTTTCTTACATTAGACCTGAGGAATAGCTGGTAGTTTAAAACTTTTCCGCAGTTTTGTAGACTGCCTCTTCACTCTATGCCAGCCTATTAATTTATGTAATCCTGTCTGTTGATGGTATTTTTGTGCAGTTTGAGTTGAGAATACCCATGCTCATTTCTTCAAGAATTCCACCTGCCTCCCTGCAGATTTCCTGTAGTCCTGTGGTCTGTGTGTTAGCACAGGACGGGAGGTAGTGGTCTGCAGTCACTCCGCTGCATGTGTGTAGCCAGTTTCCAAGCATCGTTTGTTAGAGGCTGTTTTTGGCCCGTCTGTTGAAGTCAGATGCTGAACGTGCCTGAGGTTGGCTGTGTTCTGTGGATTCTGTTTTTGTGGCAGAACTGTGCCGTTTTAACACTGTAGCTTTGTTGTGAACTTAAACAATTCTGCTCCCTTTGCTCTGGTTGCTCAGGCTGCTTTGCTGCCCTGCCTGTCTTGGTCCTGTGTAGCTTTAGAATTGTTTCTTCTAGTTCTGTTAGGGATGCTGTTGCTATTTTGATTGGAATTGCATTAAATACATGTTTTTGGTAACTGGCTATGTTGACGGCTCTATATTGGTTTTGCCTATCCAGGAACAGGGAATATCTTTTATTTTCTGATGTACTCTTCAGTCTCTCTTTTAAAGACTTTTGCTTATAGAGATATTCCTCTTCCTTAACTTAATGAGTATTTTGTTAAGCTATTGTGAATAATCGTTATTTTCTTCCCTTTTTTGGTGGGGGGTGATTTTAACTTAGGGTCTTAACTGTGTAGCTCAGGCTGGCCTCAGACTCATAGTGATCCTCCTGCCTCAGCCCTCCTGAGTGCTGGGATTACAGTCTTGCCCAGTAGTTTGGCTCATTTCTTCATGGCAGTCTTTGTGTATAAAAATGCTGTTGGTTTTTGTGTTTCCTGCTACTTTGCTAACTTTATTAGTTCTAGGAGTCTTTTGGTAGAGTTTTGGGTCTTTGTGAAGACGGTTTGATCTCCTGTGTGTACCTTTTCTTTCTCTTCCCCAGTTGCTGTGGCTGAAGTTCCATGCTACATTAAGCAGCATGGTGAGTGGGCACTCTTGATGCTGATTTTGGAGGGAAGCTTTCAGGTTTTCCTCATTTATAGAATGTTTGGGTTTGTCCTGAATGGGATTTA